ATTTCCCTCCACCAGACCCAAATAAAGAACTGGGTCCTACTTCCTGGCCTTATTATGTTTACTTTTCCAGTTTCCCAGGAGGTCAGGAGAGGATCCCACGTCATTGTTTTTGGAGTATGAGTGGTCGATTACTTTTTCAAACACGGCTCAGGCCCTGAGGAAGGACACAAAGGGCTATTCGTGTGCACAAACCGGTAACATTTTGGTTTCCTTTTTGAACATCTGTTGCTGAGACTACAATGTTAAGTGACATCCCACCTCACACTCACATCTGACGTCCTCAATACATTTGAATTTATGCATTTAACAGATATAACTAAAATGTATCAAAGCTTCTGAAAAAGGTTTGGAAAAGATAACGTCTGTCTTAGAACTTTTTGACTTGTTCGCATTAACGTCTGTCTTAGAACTTTTTGACTTTGTCGCATCATCTCCCCCTCTTTTTGCTTGGTTAACAGAAATAGAGTGGATAATTTAACTACTACAGGGAGGAGGCTGCTCCTCATTAACTCGTTAAGTTGCCTTACACTTAAAGCGTCGTGGGTTCAATTCCAGACTTGTTAGGTTACCTCTTTTGGTCAACGGGACCATAAAAATACTATGTGAGTACATGTCAAATACAGAGACATGCTTTATGGTTTTATTAATTTTTGGACAGTAAAGTCAGAAGACATGGGTCAGCGACTAACGCCTCAGGTCAGCGCTGGTCCACAGACACGTGATCGTGGCTCGATTCCTCTGTTTATCGGAGCAGCCGTATCCCTGCTCCACTCAACAATCTGCCCACACGACAGAGATAACCCTTTAGACTGATTACACTTCCCCATCTATTTGCGCACACACACTCTCACACACATGCACTTATTATTCCAAAACAGACGTCTGTCAGCCAGTCGTTCAACTGTGGAGAAAAAAAACTCAAAAACTTACAACCAAAAAGCAGCGTAAACAACGAAAGAAAACTCTGTACCTTGTACACATTGATGGGTATGTCAATGAAAATGTAGATGAGGTCACCGAGGGCCAGGCTCGCGATCAGCGCGTTGGGCCCGTTCCTCATGCACTTATGTCGGTATATGATCCTGAGCAGGGTGGCGTTGCCAACCAGGCCGACGGCAAACACGATGATGGAGATTGTAGTGTTGATGTATTTAAAGTAGCCGTTAATAGTCGTCCTCTGCATGCACATGGGGGGTGGCACTGGCCTTTTTACGACAGTCTCATTTCCAGAACCAGATCTTGCAGATTGCAATTTGGCCTCCGCAGGGTGCAGTTGGGTACCGGGCCTGGTGACTGGACTGATGGTGCTGTGCGTGTCCACAGACTGGAGGGTGGAGAGGACGAGGAAGCCCAGCTCTTTCTCGTGTGGAGCTCTGTTTTTCTGGCACATTCCTCTGGCTGCCATACAGACCATTAGCAGCAACATGTGTACAGCTGCGGTGCCCATTATGGAACACAGTCAGTCCTTTGATTTCACCGAGTGTAAAATGGTTCCACTCTATGGCTGCTGAGATGAGAAGAAAGGCAACGGTTAGAGGGTTTTACAACAAAACAGCCAAATCACAGGAGTTCGTCTCGACTTCACTGGAGTCTTAGCTGAATGTTTGATGTTAGTTATGAGCAGGTGTGACAGCCACGCTGCAAACTTCCAGCCGCCGTGATTGACTAATCAACTCGTTCGAGACTTCAAAAAGCTTTTGTAACGGCAGCACAGATGGAAGATGCCAAGACCGGTTAGAGAGAGGCTGAAACATCAGCAGAACTCAAAGTTCTTCTCTTGTTCTCTTAGTCCGTTACTGGGAAAAGGATTAGGTTCAATTCTCGTCTAAATTCTTAGGATTAGGTTCAATTCTCGTCTAAATTTTTTTGTTTTTCCCTCTTGAGACAACGTGTCCTGTCTGTTGGTCTGCAGATGATTGGATCTGTGATCCCTGACTGCTGCTCCTGCGCTCTGTCTCTAGTTTGACAAAGTTGGGGCTTGCAATAAAAAACAAACAACACTGCACTTCTGAATAGAAATGTTGTTCTTAGTAACTTAGTGATATTAATATTAGTAATATTAATATACCATCATTAACTTCTCTACAGTAAATATATAACTATAAATATCTTTCCCCTCACAGCCTCAGATAACCAGCAAACTTTCTGGTCAAAATCAAGTCTCAAAAAAAAAAAAAAAAAAAAACAACAGATAAAGTTTCAAGCTGTCAGATCGTCAGTGAAACACTTTTCATCATTCACGTCACTCTGGCGGCAGCTCCTATAGCCCAGAGTTCTTCCCGTTCAAAGTCCCAGCTGTCATCAAGTACACAAAGAACTATTTAGCAGCCAGCCCTTCAAGTAGCATCACAGTTTAGCGTCAGTGCGACACCGCTGGGATCGGTGGCAGCGCACAAACTGATCCATCCATTAATAATAAATTCATATGGTTTTCACCTACCGCTTTCTAAAACGTCTGCCTGGCCCCCTTGGAAACTGTCAGGCAAACTTTCGGCTGAAGCCCCCAGACATCTGTATCACATCACATGAGTAATTAACGCACTATCAAAGCCAAACCGTATCCCACTTGGTTTGAGCAAGGCACCCGTCTGCTCCGAGGTGCCTCCACATTATGGCTCAGAGTTTCCTGTTGAGAGTTTGCAGTACGTCTGAGTGTGTGTGTGTGTGTGTGTGTGTGGGGGGGGTGTATCAGTGCTTGTGTGTGTGTGTGTGTCAGAGCACCAGTGAGACACTTTGACTGGGTGGGATAGTAAATCTCCACCTCCCTTTGGTAACAGACTGGGCCCCCTTGGAAACATCACCCCCCCCCCCGCTCCCTCTCTCTCTCTCTCTCTCCTAGGCACCGCCTGCTGAGAGTCATCTCAAGGCACATACACACCTCTACACATACACACACACCCAGAGGGGCATTTGCCCCGACCATCGCACAACGTCCAACCATTACGGCCGTTCCCCTCAAAGGCCCTCGACCCCCAACTTGCAACCCCTCTCTGACTCACGTTATGATTTGTATACATTTCGTGCAATTGTTTCCTCACACGAATAGCAGCAGAGATGTGATTGGAGGAGGTGGAGGGAGGCACGAGGCCAGTCAGACTCCATGTTGTTATGATTGGTGTGCGTTGCTTTAGTGGAGAAAACTGAGACAGGAAGCAGGAGCTAACGCTCAGCTCGTCTTTTGCTTTTACAGACTAGCCCCAGAGTGGGTGGTCGATGTGCACACGTGCTAATCTTAGCCTGCCTCCTAGCACTGGAGATGCAGGGCTGCAATGCATAGTTGTGCATCAGCTATAAAAGGCGGAGTAGTAAAAAAATATATACAGGTCCCAAGACGAGTGTTTGGTTTATTTAAGTCAAATACAGCGGAAAATTCAGCTGAAGAGTTTTCCTCCGCACGCAAAACTCATCCAGAGAGAGAGAGAGAGAGAGAGAGAGAGAGAGAGAGAGATGGCTGTAGGCACAGGTCAATGTCAAGACACAGACAAGTGCTCGTAGCTCAGTGTCCATTATGGTTTCCAGCATATACCATTAATAATGATGTGCACTAAGAGCAGGAAGAGGCCGGTCAAACTGGCCATCATGTGTTTTTTTCCCACCCCCGTAAAGCTGACACAGCAGCTGCCTGAAGGGGAAAAACACTTAATCAAAAAAATATGTTCTATTCTTGGCACGTCTGGCAGCATTTAGTATTTATTTTTACGAATGGATAAAACGTTCTCACCAGATTATCTTCCAGATAAAATGTGACGTAATTATTCAGGTTGTTGGATATTGTTTTTTCTTGGACTAAAACTAAAAAAGAAAAAAAAAGCTAAAATAAAATAATGACATGTGATTAATCAAGATGTAAATGGTTTATATCTCTCACTAAAATAATAATTAAAAAAAAAAAGCTAAAATAAAATAATGGCATGTGATTAATCAAGTTGAAGATGTAAATGGTTTATATATCTCACTAAAATAATAATTGTACAGAATGCATGTTACGAGTGTTGTTTCCATATGGTGTTAACTCGTTTGTGAAATAACTTCTGTTTTTTTTTTCACAGCCAGAATCTGAGTCATTGGGTAATGCCAATATTTACAGCCATTTAAAATTAAAGGAATCATGTTTTCTTTAATTGTAGTCATGAATATAACATGAGTTCTGAATTAGTCATGGTCAGCAGTGGCAAATATATAATTTATTGGAACGTGATTTGCTGATGGCTTCCAATTTTCTTAACCCTATTTTTTTCCTTTCTTTCAAAATCCCTGGGTCGTTGGCAGCTTGGGTGACACATTAACTTTGGAGGGGGTTAGTGGAGCCGTTGTTAATAAACCCATTAATATATAAATGATGAAACCTTTACCTGCTCCCAGTTGCCTGGGCTTTCATGTTGTTGTTGTGTTGTTGTTTGGATGGTAATCAGGTATTAATGCCATTCTGTCTGAACTCAAAGATGGCAGCCTGCCTGCTAATTCATATGCTTGTTCTCTGATGGCATCTGTCGAAGTGTGCTCTCTGCATATTGGTACATACCCGGTGGGAAATTTCAATCCAGCCCCAGACTGAGTGGGAAGTGAGCAATTCCTTAACTGGGACAGTTGCGTAAAAACAGAGAGAACAGAGCGGGAAAGAATGAGGAAGTTTGAGGCCAGTTCTACTGTGACAGGCAGCGACAGAGAGAAGTGGGTTCAGAGTCACATGGGCTTCGTCTGAGGAATATGGTTCACGCAAACAGAAAAGTTACTTGCTGAGAGTGAGACGAATGTGACCCGTGGTGGCGGGGTGTTTGAGAGTCTTCTCATTGGTGCTCGTCTATGACATCATCTGCAGTCCATCAATATCACAGTGAAGGGTTTTAATTAGACAGAGACAAGTTTGTCATTTTAAAACCAGTGTTTTATTGTTGTTCAGTGGAGCTGTTTGGTTTGGTTTGTAAAATATCTTTACATCTGGTTCTCACTTGGCCAGAGAATTTGTAACATCACTTAACTCTTTCCTGTCGTTCTCTCCAGTCGTGGATCATCCTCACAGCAACGTTATAAATTATAAAAGTTCTATCACTCTTTGATTAAAAAAAAAAAACAGCTGCAGCTACTGATGACATAAAGAAAGAAAGAAAAAAAGTTTTCTTTTTAAAATTTGATTGCGAAATACTGTAATCTCTCATGCAAGACACGTCATGTACGTGACTGATCCTTTTTCTGAAGTTCATAACCTTGGAAAATATATATATAAATAAATATAATATACATAAATATAATTTGACAGAACATCACAGACACTTCAAATGGCCTGGATTGAACCCTGTAGTGGGCCGGGTTTGTCCCGCGGGCCGTGTGTTTGACAGTCACAGCTTTTGCTCTAAAGCTGTGAATGTGGCAGGGTAGGGGCGAGACATTGCCCCCCCCGCCCCCCTACCCCGAACCCTAACCTCTGGTCAATAAAACCAACAGCACGACATGTGGTGACTTTTGTCCTTGCAGATATAATTATAGATTATGTTACAGAAACACTACTCTTATCTGAGGGAGACGCCGCCAGGCTTTCACCGGAGGCTGATCATGGTTGGCTGTTTCCACTAGCTGAAAAAGAAAGCTCCGCCCACTCCTGTTCGTGCCTGATGAAAGTGAAACAAATAAACAAACAAACAAACAAACAAGCGAGGGAACATGCTGTCATTACTGATGACTGGAGAGTAACAACCAGTCTGGACACTCAGGCAGGAAGCAGCCGAGCACATCAACAGAATGTTGCTGAGTCTGAGCCGCGGCCATTTATGGCCTCTTCTATCAGCGTCAGTCGATAGGTCAGCGACCTTGTGCACATCGCCTGGCTGTCAACTCTCCCTCTGCTCTGTCTCCGAGAACTGCCTTCAGACAACACCTTACGATTCCCAAACCCGGCCACTTCCACAGGGTGACTCAGACTTACTGGCATCAGTGGAGCAGGGTGAAATCAGGGAGGAGTTCAGGCTGTGTGTGTGTGAAAGGAACGGTTGAACTTTCATCATTGTCCTCTTGTTGATGGACAAGATTACGCCTGAACTCGGAGAAGGACAGACATGAAAGTTGGCTCATATCGATTGACTGATAAAATTTTTTTAAATGTTGTGCAGTTATTCACTACTACCACATATACTGCGTTGATATGATATAAACATGTGAAAGATCTGTTTATCTTCAGCTTTAGTTGAATGTGGTGCATGTGTTTTTTTTATTTTCTCCAAACTTAGGAATTAGTGCTGATTAAATTTTTGTTGTTTGATGAAGTCGTCAAAGTGTTGATATGGAGGACGAGGGCTTCAACAACTGTCTGACACTGACAGTGTAACTGACACGATGCTGTATCTGACCTGATGTAAACACACATACATTAGCATCACACCCACTGTGAAAACACCAGAGTCTTAAAGTGGCCTCCGTCTAATACATCATCGGTTTTGCTCCTATGCTGAACATAAAGCTGTGACGTGACAGGCTAACTGATAGCGTTGTTACTTACAGCCGAGGCAAATTCCTGCTTGGCTCTTGTCAGACAGAACCTAAATGTGCTGATAAATGCGAGAGAGGCCATTGCACCGCAGCGCCGCCCTATCAGGAGGTCTGTGAGTGTGAGCTGGAAATAACTTTAACTCTTTGTCCGTCAGCCCGGCACGCAGGTAAATGAGAAATGGCTAATTAGCCAGAATAAAGTTAGCAGCGCTGCGTGGGTGTCTGTGTACGTTCCGGTAAGTTCCAGGCTACCTTATAAACACAGCTGTGACGGTGAGGTGAACGGAGTGAGAAAGATAACACTCTGGTTGAACCTCCAGATGTCGGTACACAAACACCTTCATCACAGAGACTCAACACAAAACAACATTTCAAATGCAGTCCATCATGTGGCTGTAGCCTACAATGAGGCGATGCATTTCATCCCCTGCGTCTGTTTGTGTGTGTGTGTGTGTGTGTTTGCCCTACTTCACTCCTCGCCAGCCCATCAGATCCTCGTGCCTGTTGATCTGCACTCCCCCTCCTCCCCCCTCCTCCTCTCTCCTCCCTTCTCTCCCTCCAGAACACTTAATCCCTGCACTGTTTTTCCTCGATCACTGAGCGTGTTGTCTGCAGTTCTGATGCAGGCTGTCTACTGTAGACTACTTTGTCAGACTTTAACCTCCTCAAATATTGAAGTAGATGTTTGTGATTTATTTCTAAAATGAAAGTGTGATTTTATTTCAAAGACGACGTCGGTAGAAGGGACCACATCGGAGTGGCAGGAAGTAGTCTTTAGTATAAATGATTTAAACACTTCTAAAGTTGGAGGTAATGGAACACAAGGAACAGCAACAACAACCATTGACTATTGTTGTTACTGTTTTTCACCGTGACACGGAGGTGGCAGATCCTGTTCTGGAAGGATCCGGCTCAAATTAAACTATGGTTTTTCCAGATTTAATGTTCGCTCTTATACACTGTTAAAAATAGGTTCCATCCATCCATTTATTTCCGGGTCGCAGGGGCAGCAGTCTCCACGACCGCCACCCAAATCACACTGCACCGTAACAACCCCCCTGAACCTTCCTGCCGGTGGAGTCCACTGGAAAGTACCAGGAGGTGAACCCTGGAGACTTTGGCTCTTGGGCCAAAGCGCCTAAAATAGGTA